GGACTTCTAGCCTTAAGACGACGACCCGCCCAGTGCCGCACTATGGCCTAAAAGATTTTGCATGGATTTTGCGCGCACTTTCGAGCGTTCTAAAAGCCAGCCCTGGGCCTCCTAGGCCACGTTCTGGAGCGAGTTCCGGCCGGAGCGGAGGAGAAGGACTTACACCATGAACGAAACAGCCAGAGACTACACCGTAACGTAGCGCAGTTTTGAAACATGGATATAAGAGAGAGAACGCAAACTACAAGAAACAACAATGGACAAGAAAGAAACTAATAAGCGGTGAAACGAGCTGCCAACAGACTTAAGTCGTCTAGCAATAAATTCCCTGTTTCATGTCGACAGCAGCCTCTCAGATGCCCGCTTCCTAGATTTCAGAGGCGCAATGGCAAGTACATCGCCCCACTTCCCGCAAGCATGGGCTGCGCATGGCTCATACTGGCAGCTGCAAGCAGTAAGACAGCTGGGTGTGCAAGAGAGCATGCAAGGTGCCAGAGCGGCAAAACAAAGCACGCAGGCCACTTGGATCCGGTGGGAATCAGAGCGGATGCCAATAATTTCAGACCTCCCTGCGTTCCTCCCACGGAAAGGTTGCTGAAAATGCTGATAAGACGCCGGAATGATCTCCAGGTTGTAGAGTTCAAGCGCAACTCATTTTTCGAAGGTCGCCTAGCCATCAAGGGGTCATCCATGCAACAATCCAGCACAGTATTCACGCGCAAAAAAGACGGCAAAAGCGTTAGCCGTCGCTTTTTGTTGCCTAAGCGCTGCAACGTGGAAAAAAGCCCTGCAAACTTGCAGAGACAGACTGTTCTCTGGAGATCATGCATGAGCTCCGTCTTTCTTCGCAAACGTTGCACTTGTTCGCAAGCGATCGCAAAGCCGAATGGATGGAGCCTCAACTCAAAGAATTGCAAACTCCAAAAAAGAAAACCCACACGAAATCGCTCTGCAAGGGTTGTCACATGAAGTCGATGGAAGGACGTTCAGAAACAAAGCAAAATTAAAAACAACAACTTGAAAGAAATGCAATGATCAAAGAAGAAGAAGCAACACAAAAGAAAGCCAAACAATTGTAAAGCTCAAAAGGGCTTGAAGGGACACTCGAGGGACCTGTACTGCGCTTGTCGGTGCGGCCTGTTTGCTTTGTGTTAGTGCTTGCGTTTTCTTTTTTGTCTCTTGCATTTTCCTTGCAAGATCTCCCTATAAAGAAGCGATTTCGGCTTCTTGTTCTTTTCTTTGTAACTGCGTTTTGCTTAAGCTTGTTGCTTCATTTTGGCTTTGCTTCTTCTTGTTTTGATCGGTAACTGCGTTTTGATTGAGCTTGTTGTTTTCTTCAGTGATTTTAGTGTCCTTTCGTGTAGTTTATTCTTCTTGATTGGGGATTGCGTTTTGTTTGACTTTGTTCCTTTTTCATTTTAGTTTGCGCTTATTTTCTTTCCGACGCAGAACCTTTCATAACGCAACGTCGTGTGCTTCAAGCCCTTCGGCTCTTCCCCTCCCCTCCCTTCCTCCTCCCTTCACCGCCTTAAAGGAGTAACCCTTCAGCTCCCTTTGAAGCTCCCCTTAAGCTCTTCTTGAAGCAAGTCTGGGCCTAGCCCTGTCGCTCCCACTCGAGCCAAGTGCAAGCGTTCAAGTCCATCCTTGCCACGTTGTCGCCGCTGTATGCGCCGCATGCCGTCTACTAGCACCTATCTGGCGCTGATAGCTCTTAACCAGGCGTGTTGATTCTGGATTCTGGGCCTCTGCCTACTCAAGAAATCCTTCTTGAGAGTTCACCGCCACTGGATTTTTTCCAAACTCGCAAGACTCTTGCTGACTCATTGGAGTTGTACCAGCCAGTGGTCTGACCTGGTCAAGTCTTGGTCGGCATCGATTCTTGCTGGGCCGGCGTGGCCAAAAACAGCGTCATGGTGAAAAAGATGGAGGGAGGGAAAAGACCGCTTTTAAGCTGGGTGTCAGTTTCCCTTTTTGTTTTCGTGAAACTTTGGTCGTTGCATGCAGAAGCAGTGTTCCGCCGCTTACTTTTGGACTAGTTGCTCCGTGTTGGATGTTAGAAAGTCCGGCTGCGTGAACACTGGTTTCGTTTGTGACACACAGTGGTCATAACCTTGGTTTTGTGCCCGCAACAGGCTCCAAAGGCCACGTGTTGACACAATCTAATTTACAAACCATCCGCTATCCAACAACAGTCTTTCGTGTCGCATTCCAACCAGAGGCCAAACGAAGTCGAACTTCCACGTTGTTTTCGACTTCAAAACTTTGACATCTTTGGCAGGACGAGAGTTCTCATTCAGCCAACCAATTTCGGAGCCTACCAAGTATATCATTGCTTTGGAATTTTACACCAGGCAGTGCATTATGTTTGCGAATTGGATTGCTTGCAGAGAGATTTTCTCACGGCGGGGGCATGAAGATGTTGCAGCGCCCGGGTGTCGCACAGCTTCATGAAGCAAAGCATCAAGATAGCAGTTGTTTCGTTCATGTACAAGCCCGCCAGTCATCAGACACAGAAGGTGCGCTAGGTGAAAACTGTGCGGCAGTGCCGAATGATTGCAACCCAGCTTTTTCAGTTTTCATAGTTTCAAGTAAACGTAATGTGCACGCTGATGGACCCACTAACGGATAATGCCGACCATAAGATCAGAGCCAGTTGACCGCGGTTAGATGATCCATGTGATCTACGATGCACGCTGCCCCGTGTGTGTGCGGACCATACAACTGGTCTCCTACCGGGAAGAGACGTTGCGGACGGGCCTGTGTTCTGTTTCCCATACACATGTATTGCATTCGCCTACTTGGCCTGCTTCTTCTCTCTCTTGTGCGGCCTGGCTCGCCTTTCGTCACTATGTTGCCGTGGAGAGGACGGGAGGTCAGTCACCTACCGTGCAGCTTCATGCTTGGCCAGAGGGCAAAGAAGTGTTCCAAAGCCAGGGCCTTGGCCTCGATTTCTGTAGCAGTTTCCTGCTGTCATCTTTGCAGGGCTGGCAGCCTCCAAGCGGCCGGCCACTCTTGCGCAGAGGGTCCTAGCCCTGGACTGGAAGTCGAACACGAGCAGCAGCAACGGCAATAGCGATTACGACACCAAAGCAATGTTGTTACTATGAGCAAAACAGCCGATTGTGATTGACATTGTTCTGTAGCCATGCTGTGACAGTCATGACGAAATTGATCGCAGTCATCGTCACGCCACATCGCGTCTTCTCACTGTGTTGTTCGCGACGTTTCTTGTTGTGGTCACTGTCACGCCGCCCTACTCAACTGCAAAGGTTTGGGCCCTGCTGCCCACTGGGCTCGTGCTCGGCTCTTGCCAGGCCACCCTGCAAACCAGAGGACATAATATGCATGTGGCCGTCACAACAACCGGAAGCAGATCACAAACGGTCATAGCAGCCAGGGTTCAAGAATGTGATGTTGGTGGTGGTCAGGTGATACTACTACACAGCACTGCAAATGCAATTACTCGCGGCATGCAGTCCTCTCCTGTGGGTCCTGTGTTGGGACAGTGTAAGAAGTAGGAGAGGCAAAAACTAAAGCAGTAGCACTGGTAGACAAAAGCTCAAGGCAGGAGTTGTAGTGTGTGATTATGAAGAGCACCGCGGTTGTACAGTCAACATCAAGATGGAAATGGAACCGCTGCTGGCATGGGCTGTTTGAGATGTTATCTAACTTTTTTGTTTTTGTCGTTCTTGTCATTTTCAGGATGACCCGATGCGCCTCATCTACGAGATGGAGTCTCTTAGCTTAGCTTATGTTGGCTTTACCTGCGCAGGTCCTTCTGCTTTCTTTACAGGTACTTGGCTTTCGTGCGGCTCCCCACCCAAGAGATCCGTCAGCGTGCCTCGCACCGAGCAAGCTACACATCCCAAACATGGACGTGTGGCCGCACCCACTGTCGCGTTCAGGTCGACAGCGTTGCTGTGCTGCCACTGCAGCAGCTCAAGCAGGCTGTCAAGCAAAGGCCTCAGAGTCTCTGGAAAGTGACGGCCTCGTGTCCAAGGCTGTCCCCCAAAGGGGACCGGGGCGATGGTGGCGGCATGCCGAAGCTTTCCGCCTAGCAGCTGCTGCTTTGCAGAAGGCCAAGATAGAAAACCGACTTCAGACCGGGTTCAGCTTGTTTGCTTTTTTCGGATGGGGTGGAGGGCGGAAGACTCCAAGGGAAGGCACTGACCACGTATGTGCCGGAGGTTTGACATGAGCCTCCAGCTTGCAGATGTTCACTTGAAAGATTTTCATGCCGCTTCTTACATGGCCGAAGCGACGAATTTTCAAGCTCCCCCTTCGCCCTCGGAAGGAGCACATTGCAGTGCTGGATGAGTTCCTTCCTGAAGAGACCTGCCGTGCGGTGGCCCCAGGAGGATTTCTTTCAGGGCGCGAGTGCCCAGCCTAAGGACCTGGACCTAAACCTTCCTCTTTAAAATTTATGCTAGGAGGCACCGGAGGTTTGGGATTTGCTCCTGTCCGAGGCCCTCTCTCGCGGTGCCTTGGCATCACGGGGCGAGATGGTGCCTTGCCTTACGGAACTTACGGGATTTGAGATGTCGTGCTTTGGGATTATTTGGAGGGTTCTCGGTGTGCCTCCCGCTAGATTGTTTTGCTTCGAGGTATCTTATGTCTCAGCCAACTTTTCGCAATCTCGAACGACAAAGCAGACGAAGCCTTTGCGTTCGACCTGCATCGACCTGTGCTCAGGTGCGGGGAGCCACCGGAGCTGCCGGCAAGGCCCTGGCCAAAGGCATGGAAGAGCTGCAGAAGGCGAGGCAGGCTAGACTGGCCTCCAATTTCCAATTTCGGCTGTCGAGCGAATTGATGTGCAGGATGGCATGTTGCATTTATCGGAGCCTCGTGTGGAAGACTGAACTCGCATGTCGCTCGGGCGCTTGCCGGACTCTGCATAATATTTGTCGTTGCACGCATCTCCAATTCTGCAGTCCGCGTGCCCTTTGTGTTCATCTGGTTTGCATTTGTGGCGAGAAGTACATTGAAATACATGTCAAGCATGGTGGAGTATCAGCCGCAGACTGCAGTGCAGGTTCTCAACGAGCCAAGTCGCTTCTCGGCTGCATGCTGGAAAGCGGAAGCTTGATGGAAACCATCATTAGCTACCCGGTCCGGTGTTTCTGATCGCCCGTCCCTTGCCAGGTGGCGATGTGGTGAAGTTTTCGGATGATGGCAACATGCCAGGATGCCCAGGCCTGGGCTGATGCTTGTCGCAACATTCCGGTAAACATACGTAGCTGCCACGCTCATCCAAAACAACGACCATGAAGATCACGATTCTTAATCTTCTGATTCTTCTTCCTCTGTTGCTGTTGTTGGTCGAAGGGCGATCTTGGTGATGACTGCCTCCATCATCTCCATCATGTTAACAGTTAACAACCAGCATTGTGACCCACAATATCCTCGTCCTCGGCGTTGTCATCATCATCATCATCATCATCATCATCGTCATCGTCACCACCATCATCACCACCATTATCATCATCTTCATCATCATCACCACCATCACCATCATCATCATCCTCATCATTATCATCATTATCAGCCTTACCGTCATCACCATTATCAGCATCACTATCATCACCGTTATCAGTTATCGTCATCACCATCATCATCATCATCACCGCTGTTTGATCATCATCACCGCTGTTTGATCAGCTGCCGCATCGGGAACCAAGTATGAATTTGTGATAGCTTGAAAAGCTGGCCTGTGCTGGAGGTTTCTTGGAGGCGCTTGATGCCTTGGTTGAAGGACGGGATGGGGGAGAGCCTTCGATTGGGTTTTTTGTCAAATAGCATTTATATGAAAAAATAAGCGAAAGTAGCAGTAGTAGCAGCAAAAGCAGCAGCAGCAGCGGCAGCAGCAGTGGCAGTAGCAGTAGCAGTCGCGGTCGCGGTCGC